AATGAATTCTCTGCAAGCTTTTGGCAGTCATGTAAACTTTCAACCTTGAGCTGCTAAATGGTCCACCAAACTGATTCAAGCAAAATGTCAAATGTTCAAAACAAATTCAACAACAATGGCTATAGAAAATTTGATTGCAGCTTCCTCATTCCTCCCTGTAGTTCGGTTAGTCTTTCGACATTTTTATTTTCCTATGTTGCCATGACAGCAAAGAGAGAACAGCGTGCACATCTGAGCAAACATGAGCAACTGATGACAGCTAAGGCAACAATTAAATCATACACTGAATTTCACACTGTTAGAGCAGATGTCCTAATCCACAGGTTTATCCATCACTAGACAAGGACATGAGGCTACACCCATCACTTTTACTTGTGGGTGAAGGGTCTCTCATTGATGACTCACTCACTGATGCAACAGAACTAAATCACTCTGCGAATCAGATAAATTTACTTGAGTTCTTGCCACTTGATCCAGAGTAATATCATAAAGACAGTATACCTAGGCTAAACAAACAAACAAACAAACGGTATCTCAGGTTTTGTCCCGCAATCTGCTTGACAGATCGCACAATGGCCCGTGGGCACCAGCTGCAGAGAGACATGGGCACGCAGAAAAGAGGAATGAGCAGATGGCGGCCCTGCGTGAGAGAGATGAGGGGAGGGGAACAGAAGATTCAGACAGGAAGGCTCTGGCTCCTGGGGAGGCTGCTCATCCACTCACTGCAGCCCAGGAGGGATGAGAGAGAACAGGCTGCTCTGATGCAGGGAGCTGGGCGGAGACGAGATGACCGGGATGAAGATAGGAGGTCAGAAAGGACTACGAAAACAAGCACGGTGTGACATTCAGTGACGTCAATGGTATTTCTCCAGGACGTAAACACAAATGACTGCCAAAAGGCTTTATCTACCAGACCTTTGTTATATAGTTAAACAAAGGCAATGTTTTAAAGCTGAACATATTGCTTTTTGCTAAATTAACAGACTTGTGATCATCCTCATATGAGCTAGATTTGAGAAACACTTTGGTTTGTATTTTAGAATTTGTATATGTAATACACTGGGAAAGACTCCAGCATCCAGCAACCCCACATAGTAAATATATTGTGGATATTATATATGCATTATGCGGCCCTGCGTGAGAGAGATGAGGGGAGGGGAACAGAAGATTCAGACAGGAAGGCTCTGGCTCCTGGGGAGGCTGCTCATCCACTCACTGCAGCCCAGGAGGGATGAGAGAGAACAGGCTGCTCTGATGCAGGGAGCTGGGCGGAGACGAGATGACCGGGATGAAGATAGGAGGTCAGAAAGGACTACGAAAACAAGCACGGTGTGACATTCAGTGACGTCAATGGTATTTCTCCAGGACGTAAACACAAATGACTGCCAAAAGGCTTTATCTACCAGACCTTTGTTATATAGTTAAACAAAGGCAATGTTTTAAAGCTGAACATATTGCTTTTTGCTAAATTAACAGACTTGTGATCATCCTCATATGAGCTAGATTTGAGAAACACTTTGGTTTGTATTTTAGAATTTGTATATGTAATACACTGGGAAAGACTCCAGCATCCAGCAACCCCACATAGTAAATATATTGTGGATATTATATATGCATTATATTATGTATATTAATAATTGAATTATAGCCTTATATTTACAGGCAATAAGTATTTTGCATTTATATTAGTAAGTCTCAGAGCTGATTAAAAACAGGATTATAAACAAAAAAATAGCGAAAACTTGTGTAGACTTGGATAATGTTTTTTTCAGGAATGTTTACAATAATATATTTATATATTAAAGAAATAAATAATATTGTATTTGTATATATTATTTTTTCAGCTATACATTTTATATATATTAATATATACAATATTTCCAGGAGGTTATTTAAAAAACATGTTAAACAAAGGTAGTGGAAGAACAATATTAGTCTAAATCAATAGAATGTAGGCCAATGTGTTTCCTCCCAGATGATAACATCAACACCAGGCATCTGAAAAATAGCAGTACATACCAGAAAAACTATGCAGTCTTCGCTTAGCAGACTCTTAACATAATAATGATGCAGTGGCTGTACAGGAACCCACGCTGACCAGATCACATTGTCAGAAATCTTACATTATAATGAGCAGGTTTCATATGATCCCTGCTAATCAACACAACATAAATTCTCATTTCTGGGTTTAAACTCTAACGTTACATATGAATGACATCACACAAAGGGCATAAGAAACATGAGATGCTAACCATTAGAAAGATAAGAAAGAGGTAGAAAGCTATCAAACTTGTGATTCCATAAACGGTATTCTATTTTTAATTTTAGACTTCCCGTGACAAGTAATAACTTAAATTAGAAAGACGGTTTATCTGCAAGATATAAAAATACAAAGTCTAAAAAAAAAAATCACATTAATTAATGGAATTGGCACGATTAAAAAATGGAAATAATGCAGAGTTGCAAATAGAGGTTTCATTAGTAGCAGCACATTTACAGCAGGTGTTTAATGCTAACATATGGTTCAACGATGCTGCAAGTTAAGCCCACGCAAGTTAAATAAATAGTTACAGACATTCTTACTGACTAAAACATAAATAAAGACATAAATATAATATTTTGCAGCTGAAACATGCCAGACCATGGTCGGGTTCTGGTACTTTCATAAGTTTTAACAGTATTTATAAACACCATAAATTACAAAATAACGAACTAACGTTCATTAAAATGTGCACAAGTGCTCTAACCCGAATAAAATCCCTGCAAATGTCTATCCCGACTGACTGTCACTTTACCAATGTTCATCAAAATGAAAGAAATCAAACAACCGCTGTTCTTCTTCCTCCAGCTGCTGGCTGTGCTAACAAACAAGCTAGCTAACTTCTGAAAGTTGAGTTTTGTTGCATTTCTAATCTGTGCCGACATGTCACTTCACGTTCTCAAAACAATTCAGCTACCTTGATCGGCTTCCTCCATCCTGTCTTTGCGGCTTCTTTATGTTGTGAGTTATTCTGATCCTTGCAGTCCCGCTTTCCCACTTCAATCTCGCAAATTTGAGCTCAAAGCTGCCACTGTAACTAGGCTGCTGCGCGAGGTGGGGTGGGGTCGTCAGTGACGTCAGGACGCACAGCACGTAGCGATGTAAACAGAGAGACGGGCGCGAGGACCCACCCGACGCGCCCATGATGAAGCGTTTTATCAGCGGAACAATTCATTTCGAATCATCATTCAACGATAAATAAATGAACTAAAATAAACTTAAACTTAAATACAATTTTATTAGAAATACCTTAATCATAATTGTATAATTCCCATTTATATTTGGCAAGTCAATAAAACCAACTGGCTAATTTAGAATTGTTTTTTATACTTTTTACGCCGTGCTCAATGTATGTTATAAAATAAATACTGGTCTCTGTGTTGACATAAATACTAAGAAATGTAATATGAAATGTAAAAACTAATTACAAATATTATTATAAATTTATTATTCATATTAGAATTTATTATAGCCTTTAGAATTATTAGAATTTATTATAGCCTAACAAATAATTGAAAATAAAAAACGTAAAAAATAAACCGTAACAAATTGCTATTGTGTTTAAAGAAGAAAAGAAAAGAAAAGAAAAGAAAAGAAAAGACAAAGAACAGTTTGAGGAAGCCACAACATGGCCATTCACCAGGCCAGAACTAATATTAAATGGCCTTCTTTTAATAAACACATTTTACCTTTCTAATTTCGACAAAAGGATACCAGAAGAGCTATTAATGGAGATATGTCTGGCCCCTCACTTTCACAGGGTGGGCTCAAAGTCCCTAATTTACCTACAGTCACGCAAGCCACGCCCAGAGGAAGCAGTATGAGGCGCTTATTGCTGGTTTATAAATCGTCTATCATGTTGGTACTGTAGGAAATTACGCCACCCACTGGGTGACAGGATTTAATAATCCTACAGTAAAGTATATTTTAAACCATTTAAATAATATTCGTGTTGTGTTGTGAGACGTTTCTTAAACCTCCACATATATTTCTATTCGACAATATGACAAAAACGATCGTAAACATTTTTTTTAAACTATAAAAATGTTTTCAGCATTAGCATTATGCTGTAAGAACTGCTGTTTTATATTTTATTCAGTCGATTGTCTATTGAATCTATCAAAATAATAGTTTTAACTCAATTGTATGGGTTTCAACTCGTTTTCCTTCATCAGTAATAAAATTCAAGGTGATCGGAAAAGTGAAATGAACATATCAATGACGTTTTTCAATGCTGCAATTAATTAAGGCAGCTGCATTTAAATTGACACTTAAAAGTGTTCAACTTTCTGGATTTACTTATTTACATTAGGATTTGTCAAATAAATTAATACATCTAAAATGTGTGCATGTGTGTGTGTGTGTGTGTGTTATATTAGGCTATATTATATTATATAGGCTATACAAATTAAAAGACAATAAAACAAGTGACCGTAAATCAGTTAAACTATTTTGTTTTTATTGAAGACCAATACAATAATGTTTTTTTTTTAAATATATACATAATTCAAATAAAAAAGGTTATTAAAGTTATTAATTTTTTTTGTTAACATTTTTTTTGATTAAAACTGTTAAAATAACAAACGAATAAAAACACACGCAAAAACACAGAGGTGACTCGAGATATTGATATCAAAAAATCAATCCGTCCTTGTCTGCCACCACCTGTAAAATACACCTATGCAGGCGCTCTTCATAACTCCGACGAACTCACCTGTCCCGAGCATCACGACTCGCGCGACAAACATGGAGCGACGTCTGTAACGCCACGCACAGGGGAGGCGTGAAAGGGATACAAGGACTTGTTGGTTCGAGACGTGTACTTCTATAGAAGAAAAAGCATGCGGAAAATGGGTGCAGTCATCGACACAAAAGACCCCTGTCTGTTTGGCGTCACCCCCATCTTCCTTTAACAGGAGCCCCCCCCCCCCCCCTCCCCCTCCCCCGGACCGGGTTTCCGCATAACCTACATACTCTCACCAGGAGGCTGGAGCGCGGAAAAACGGCTCGTTTCATGCGGAATACTTTATTTAAGAGAGCCGCGATCGGATTTTTGTTTTATTGAGAAAGTGTAGATTGTAATTTATTTCAAGAAAATGTCCGGAGAGCGAAACCGCAGGTCGCTGGCTTTCCGAGGAGGTGGATTAGCCGTCACCGGTGCCAGCGCCGTCGGAGGCAACAGCTGTGAGGCCCCAGCCTGTCAAGACCGACATCTGAACGGGAACAGACCGGATCAAGAGGACGACAGGGATCTGGGGGCGAAAGGACCATCGCTGGGGAAAGTTGAGGGCGGGGGGTCCGTCAGCGACAGCACGGAGCCGGAGGCAGAGGAGGACGACGACCCGGAAGGGGGCAGTTGGACAGCGGGTAAAGATCATGACAGAGGCGCTTTAAACAGCATAATGGTGAAAACCGAGGGCTGTAAGTGGGCGACTGGCAACGGCGTGAACCGGGAGGACTGTAGCGCGGGAGAGGCGGAGGAAGCGGCCGCTAGAAAGCCGCTGCTGGAGATGAGACCTCAGACGCTGCTGCTCCAGAAACACTCGCTCTTCCAAGCCTCCTGGCTGCAGGAGTTTCCCTGGCTCAAATTCAGCCAGGAAACAGGGCTGATGTCTTGTTCCTGGTGCCATAACATCGCCACCAACAACAGAGACGAGCTGGTGAAAGGCAGCCGGAATTACAAACGGGCCTTGCTGCTGAGGCATCACCTGTCCTCGGAGCACGGCAGGAATGACCCGACCAGACAGGTACGTCCACACCGCGGTATAATGGGGACGGGAACACTCGGATACGCGACGGAGCCGACCTGGGCAGTGCTGTTCGGTGTGTAGTTAACAAATGTCGACGTTTTTCCGGCTATTTAGGAGCGGAAATGCTGTTTTTAAAGCCGTTTAGCGAGCTAACAGGTCTGTTAGCTATAGACTCAGGTAGACTTAGCATATGGGCGCTAACTGGATCAGCGCTGTCAGTCGGTGAGCTGAGCTAAAAGACCCTCGACTAAAGCGTAAAATCAATTTTCTGTGTTTTTACGGTCTTTTGAGACCATATAGAAACTTGACCGCCAATTATAGATGGGTTGTCGCGTTTTATATTATTATAATTCTTTATTTACATGATTTGCAATTAGATATGTATTATTAAACAGAACCAAAAGTACCATAAAGTGAGACCGTGGCTCAAAATATATGTCCTCGTTTCCTGCACTGCACTGTAATTATCAACCCTGGTTGCCATGGTTACTAACCTGATTGCTACAGAGGTCACACAATGGCAAGGGTTTGACCCTGCTACCTTTGGGGAGCCGCATCCCTTCCCAACCCCCTCGCTGTAAAAAGTGACCTCTGGCACATCTCACCCTCCCCTTTTAGGGCACCTAAATTAGAGGCATTGTTTTAGGTGACTCCCCAAGATCCATAGATAGTGTGTGCGACTTGCTACATTGGGTCAGAGTGAGTTATGTCGCCTGTAAGGACAGCAATGCCTGATATGTGCAGGCCACTGCAACGAGCAGAATAAGATTAGGCTTGAATAAATCATATCATATCAGCAGCTGAAATGGTAATAGTGAAATGTAATTTATATTTGATACTTCTGCATCTGTATCCAAAGGAATCGTACAATGCCAAGACATGTCGTTTAAGATAAATAGTTATTGATTGATTTTTTTTTTTAATGCTTTTGATTCCCTGTCCTTTATCAAGCCACAAAATGATTGATTCATGTACTAAATCCTATCTGTTGCTCTCCAGAAGATGTCGTGTTACTGGTTTGCCAGTAAAATCCCTTAGGATTGTATGGTATGATAATGTCCAGTCTAATCAGGGTGACACAACGTGTTCCACTAACTCAATTTATACCACTCACTAATTAGGAAGGAAAGGAGGAGGAGATTACCACCGCCTCCCTAGCAACAGAGGGGTTAAGACGCTACAGAAGATCGGTTAAACTTTCCTGATCAATCATTTTGCTCTGTCAATCAACCTTTTTACAATACTATAACTGTATGTTGCGTAATATGTGGAGTAAATGTGCTATGCTACATTTATTTTCCATATATAATATAGTATTTGTGATTTAGTACACTCTTAAAAATAAAGGTTTGTGTGAAAAAGGCGGTTTTCTCAGTGATGCCATATAGAGGAACCATTTTGGGTTTCCCAGAAAACTGAACAGTTATGAAAATAACTATTTTTTCATAGTGTGAAGAATATTTTAATGTAAGCTTTTCCAGCTATAAAGAACATTTTGGTTCCATGCAGTTTAGGTTCCTTACTGGCATCGATGGTTCCATGAAGATCCTTTAACATCCATGGAACCTTTTCAATGTTGAAAAGGTTCTTCATAATGGAAAAAGGTTCTTTAGATTATTAAAATGTTCTTCACTCTAAGAACAAAAATGGTTCTTTTCAAAACTGATCAATGAAAGGTTATTTTTTGAACTAAAAACTTTTCTATTATAGCATCGATGAGAATGGATCGACCCCCTTTTGGAACCTTTATTTTTAAGAATGTGGATGTTAAAGGTTATTGATGGAATCATTGATGCCAATAAACAATAATTATTTTTAAGAGTGATTTTGTCATTGACATCTCGGCAATAAGAGTAGTGGACATGGAGATCACGAGATTGTGGAAGAATAGTATCTGTCTTAAAGTAGCCTAATTGGGTGAAACATTAGGACGGCTGCTGTCTGAGTAGAGAAAGGCTGTTCTGATAGGCCACATCCTCCAATAGCCAATTTCATAATTGTGATCTATTATGTTCTTCAGTGCAGCAACTGTCCATCATAATGGGCTAAATTTCTTCACTGGTCCATATCAGACTACTCTAATTGAATTACCCCTAAAGAAGGGTATCTGGGTTGCCTCACTCTCCAGACTAGACTTCGCCCTCAAAGTATTTGCCCTCTGTTGCTGTTATTAGTGAGCCGCAATGAAGATGAGGGTCTCCACCCCGTACTGTCTGCTGCTGTGAGATATGTGTGTATTGGGGGGGCTGTTGTGTTGTTGGTGCTGGTGGGGGAGAATTCCCTGGAATTTTGTATCGATGAGCCCTGCTCTTTGTTGGGAGGCCCAGATCCTGGCATTCCCCTCCCACACCTTGGGTCAAGCACACTGCTGCATTGTTCATGCATCTGGATGAGGGAACCAGGCACTGGCCTCAGGGGCTGGGATGGCTCAGGAAGACTATGCGCAAGGAAAACAAAACCGCCGTCCCTGTTGTCTGAGGCACAATGTCCCCCTAACGTACCACTTGTGTAGTGTATTCTCACCACGGCCCTGGTAGGTGATAAAGGCACGGCTCTCTGTTGCTGAAGGCTATGTGTTTAAATTTTGGGGAGCTATTGTTGGTTTGCGGGGAATGGAACATGTTGGAAGTGTACAATAGAATAATGGGTGTTGGCAACTCATCGCCTGAAGAGCTTTAGGCGACTGTCTGTTTAACTGCAGCGCAGGAGAAGGGCAGCGGTATTGGTGGTGGTTGTATAATGTTCCCGTTTCGCATCAAAATGAAAGTCTGGGGTGGGAAACCAGAGAGAGAAACCACAGCAAGTTTCGTGTGCAACACTTTTTAATCCGAAAACACACCGTTTCCTATTTTCTTTGATGTGTCACATTCTGAACGATACTTTTTTTTTCTTCTACATACACTACCATTAAAAGGTTTGGGTCGGTAAAATCTAAACAAATGTTTTTGAAGAAGATATCTGTGTATTTTTCAATTAAAAGTACAGTAAAACAGTAATTTTAAAATGTACTTTTTTCTTATGATGGAAAAGCTTAATTTTTAGCAGCCATTACTCTTGTCTTCAGTGTCACATGATCCTTTAGAAATTATTCTAAAATGCTGATTTGCAGCTCAAGGAGAATTTTTTTTATCATCATACAATACATTTTTATTATCAACAGTTATTGTTGAAAACAGTTGTGCTGCTTAACATTTTTGCGGAAACAGTGCTGCATATTTTTTTACAAGATTCTTTGGTGAATAAAAAATACAAAAGCACAGAATTATTTTTGAAATGTAAATCTTTTGAAACATTCTAAATTGTCTTTTCTGACACTTTTAAAGAATTGAATGCATTCTTTCTAAATAAAAGTAGGCCCTATTCAATTCTTTTTAATCTTACTAATCCACAACCTTACAACAGTAGTGTAAATGAAATCCAAACATGTCAGGTTTTTATGAGTAAAAAAAGAATTGTCTCAGAAACACAATTAGCATCAACCGTATGAGATCATAATGTTGGCATTTATAGATATTGTAAAAGTAATGTCTTTTCCTTTCGTTGTTTGGTTGTACAGTTTGCACAAGCCAAATGGCTTACAAAAAGAGGGCACAAATGACCTAGCAGCACAACTGTAGACAATAACAATAACAAACATTCAATTAAGAAAAAGACTATGCCAAATGTCAAACTGTCACCACAGACTCATTTTGACAGGGTTTAATGGGGGGAATCTTCGAAAAGCATCTGTTCTCTTGCATATGTTTACACATTTGGAGAAAGGATGAACCGTGTGCGAGTGTACATGAGAGAACGAAAGAGAGAGAAAAAAAAGGTTAATTCTGGACTAGCATGTCCTGACACCCGCTTTCGACTGCCACCTCATCTGTCCTCTCTCCATAGCTTGGCTTGGCCCACAGTCAGGCTCTCTCTGGATAGACAGAGGCGAACAATAGTGGGGACATTGTGACACCACAAACGGACGTTCATTCTTGTCTAACACCCCTGTTTCTTCAAACCTGCACTTCACTAGATCTGTCTGAACTCAACAGTGCTCCCATTTAGACTACATTTTATTTTCTTTATTTTAAAGTAGTTTACAAAAAAAGAAAGAAAATTCTTACAAAATTTACTAATTAAACTTCTTTGCACCCTCATGTCATTCCATACGTCGGTGTAACCCATAAGGAGATTGAAGAATTGCTCTTTTTACTACAGCTCTCATTCGTGCTTGTCATGTCTCTTTAATCTAAGAAATACACAAAGCGATTTTCAAACAGGTTTCTCAAAACTCATGTCTACCATTGTTTGTCAAACAGATAGTCCTATCCCAAACTCGTACCATCTGTTGTGTTGAGTCCGTGTTACTGGTCGGGATGCTTAAACAGGGAAATGTTATGAAAGTGCCACTGAGTCAAAAAATTACACATTCAAGCTTTAAATTTTTGTCTTTTCCTCACACACAGCTATAATGTGACTTTAGAAGCCTTGGAATACCCTGCAAATCATATGGACTACTTTTAAGGTGTCATTTTAGCAGTTGGACAGTTCCTGGTTACTATACACTATCATTCAGAGGTGTGGGTTCAGTAAGATATTTATTAAACAAAAATTAATACTTTTATTCAGTAAGAACACATTAAATTGATCAAAAGTGACTGTGAGGACATTCATAATGTTACAAACGATTTCTATTTCAAATAGGCCTACTTTTTAAAAATACTTAAGATATAATAATCTTGAAAAAATGTTCCCACAAAAATATTAAATAGCACAGGCTGTTGTCAACATTGATAATAATAAAAATGTTTATTGAGCAGCAAATCCGCATATTATGATGATTTCTGAAGGATCATGTGACACCGAAGACCGTAATGATGCTGGAAATTCAGCTTTGCCATTACAGGAATAAATTACATTTTAAAATCATTTATTTTGTAATAATATTTCACAGTATTACTGTTTTTACTGTATTTTTAAGAGACCTCATTATATTGCAAAGAGCAGTGTGAAAATTTTTTCAGAATATCTTTTTTTGTGTGTGTATTCAAATGAGTTGTACAGGTTTTAAACAACATGAGAGTGAGTAAAATATGACAGGATTTTATTCCAGCTCTGGTTTTGTAATTCCAGCTGTGTTTTTCCAAGTCTTCTGCAACCTTCACCAGTAAGTGTGCTAGGGAATTGTAAGTGCTTTCTTCACAAAGCTTCAGTGTAGCACTAAAGCAGCAATAGTGAACAATGAGCCTGGAGGAAAGGACTGGCATTGTGTGGAGAAATGGGGCTACGCTCTCTCTCTCTCTCTCTCTCTCTCTCTCTCTCTCTCTCTCTCGCTCTCTGACTACTGGTTGGGCCTGCTGTAGCTGGATCAGGCTACAGTAATAACCCCATCTACCAGGACAAGCCCAGCAGTGTGGAGGAGGGGGCTGGGAAGGCCTCCGCCCTGAGAAATAGATTTAATCTGAATTACTCCAGCAAAAAACCCAGCTGTGTGGTAGGAGGGGAAAAAATGTAGGGTGGTATAAATTTCTGCATGGATTAGGACATCTGCTTTGCAATCCAGAAATATATTGTGTAGATTCACTCCCATTGGTAGGTACCAGCCGGTTCTCTTTCTCTCTCTCTCTCTCTTAATTGTGAGAGCAGATGATGGAGACTGATGGTGAGATGGGATAATGGCCAAATATTTCTCATCTTAAAGAGCATTAACATGGGGCGCAGAGATTACATCCTGTGAGCGGGGGGTTTGCCGCCGCTATAGTTCCCACAGTACTGCAGCTTTTGAACCTGTTCAACCAGTTCTCTAGTCAGAGTTGTCACCGTACACCTGCCCTTCACCTTATGTTTACACTGTAGACTAATGCTGAATTTCATTTTTGTTTGTTGTCACTCCACTAGGAGATGGAAAGGCCAGAGGGCACGGAGAGCCCAGAGGTGGAGGACTATAGAAACAAGCCCAATGAGAACTCCTACTGCTACCAGCTGCTGCAGGAGCTGGACAAACAGCGCAAGAGCGGCATCCTCTGCGACGTCAACATCGTAGTGGGTGACCAGGTGTTCAAGGCACACAAGAACATCCTGGTTGCTGGGAGCCGCTACTTCAAGACCCTCTACTGCCTGACGAAGAGTGAGAACTGCGACCAAACTACCATCACGCACTTGGACGTGGCCGCCGTGCAGGGTTTCTCTGTCATCCTGGACTTCCTGTACTCCGGCAACCTCTTGCTCACCAGCCGGAATGCCATCGAGGTGATGTCCGTGGCGAGTTACCTCCAGATGACCGAGGTGGTCCAGTCCTGTCGCGCCTTCATCAAAGACGCCCTCAACATCAGCATCAAGCAGGAAGCCCCTGATTCTGTGGTGGTCGACTACAACAAGCGGCGGACGGTGGCGAAAGACTGCCAGAGTGCCGACAAGAAGCCCAGCAACTTCTGGGCCACCAGCATCTTGTCCAAGCTGTCCATCAAGGCCAGTGGGCAAGTGAAGGATGAACCCAGTGACATAGAGGTGTCCGGTGGAGAAGGCTGTGCTTTGGGAAGCTCTGGTTGGGGCGGAGAGAATTCGTCAGAGTCTACGGAGACGGAGCCACAGGGTCCGGGGCCGGTGTTTGTCTGGAACGAGCCACATCCCGGCACTGGGGTCGCCGTCAAGAGAGAGGCGCATCCTGAGCCGGGCAGCGGAAGGCGGAAAAAACAGACCGCTAAGCGCTTCGTCTACAACATCCCACCTGAGCCGGAAGAGGGTTTTGACGAGGGCATGTTCATCCAACCAACTGCCTCTTACACCAGAGAGGACTTCTCTTATCTCTCAGAGAATGCCGGTACGTTACCCATCATGCCTTTCTCTTAAAAGAAACCATAAAAAGGGCACCATAATGGCTCTTCAAACCGAGTCCAATTCAAACCATCAGTCATAACCAATTAATGTGTCATTAAAAACACACCCAGCAAGTTTAAAAGAAATTTTTTTCATTTCCTTGTGTGCTGGAAGTGTCTATTGAGCTCTTTCAGGTCGTGGGAGTTTGGTTATTTGAATAGTCGCCGCCCTATTATGTAGACTCATCAGCATACTTCAGTGCTATCATTAGGTTTGTCACATATTACAATGGTGTTTTTGACACCTCTCTCTCACACTCACACAAAGGCTAGTATGCATTACTGTGAAGCGTTTGGTAGTAGTATAATCAGTGTTTGTCAGAGGCACATCCAAGTGCACACACATAGCAGTGAGTAGTGAACACACACACACCGTGAACACACACCCGGAGCAGTGGGCAGCCATTTTTGCTGCGGCGCCAGGAGGAGCAGTTGGGGGTTCGGTGCCTTGCTCAAGGGTCTCACCTCAGTTGTGGTATTGTGGGTGTGAGAGAGCGCTGATCATTCACTCCCCATCTACAATCCCTGCCGGCCCTGAGACTCTCTAACCATTAGGCCATGGTCATGCCTCTTCCTAGGGGCATGTTCCAAATGGCAAGTTATCGTACTACTAGCACTGTTTGGGAATTTGATATGCTGAGTACCCACTATGCAAATTTTCAGCATGCAAATGGTTTACATTCGACTGTAAATTTCCATTCAAGTTGATTAGAAAAATGGCTCATATTTGGGAATGCGATTAGATCTTAGGTTGTTTACATTCATTTGAATGTGGTTATGCAATGTCTAACATGTTGTGGACTGTATTAAAAACAGCATGCTGTATACAGTATGTAATTTTCTAGAGGGCCTGATCAAAGCCTGCATATATACTGAAACATATTACCTGAAATGTATTACGTTTTTAACATTATTTGAGCTTAAAAAAACAATGTTTATGATATAGATCAAGTCCGATTTTATTGTTGATTTGAAGTATGTTATTTGAATGTGATACTGGCAACACAAGTCAACATTAAAATCAAAATGAACCTTTTTACGTCATTAATAATTAATGGTCAGTTTCACTGTGCAAGATTGATTAATACATGTTAAGAAATATTATATTTGTCTTCATAATCTTTTATCAAAAAAATGTAACTTGCGCTGAAATGACTTTTCTGTTGACATCATCAAGGTCGCTTAGGTTTCAACCAATGGGCATTGAAACTGTTTAAGGAGTCATGTAGTTCTTTTGACTGCAAATCTGGTATAAAATGCCCACTTTTCACGATACAAACTTACATTCCATATTCCCATCTTACATTTCTTTTTCTACATTATATTGTTTCCATACACTCAAGATGAAATGACGTTCTCAGCCAATTTTAACGTAGTTTCTACAGCTTGCACACTGTAGCTGTTGATTTTCCTGTGTATTGTAATTCTAAACTTTTTTCCACTCAGCTGATGTACAAAACGTTAGCTGATATGTTGTTACATCTTTTATTTTCAAGCAGGAATGTGCTAAATACTAAATAATAATACGAAAGCACGTTCTCGCCCACGTGCACATGCATACATGTCTAAACCTTTAGCTGTGGCAGTCGGACAACTATGGTCTCGCATCATGATTGCTTGTCCTCAGGCCCTGTGCAGCTCAAGGCCGCAAGACCATCTTCTCTTTTTAATTAGAGTGGCCAGTCCGTTTTCTTCTGCCCTTATTAAGGGAGTCTGCCCTCCCTTTGCCTCATACCACAAAAACCTGCGTAATCTCTAGCCTGCCGAGCTGTCATGCTTCAAACTCTGCCCCCGTTAAGAAGAGCAGCGGGTGGTATAGTATCATGTCTTAAGTGACGCGATTCTGAGACGAGGCTTTCTCTCGCCATCGTCGACTCCTCTAATGCAGGATAATGAAGTAAAGCGGGGGAAAAGTTCTACCCTCAGGCTTCCTAAACGCCCTCAAATGCACTTAGCTCATATTCCTGAGGGCACTTAAATGTGCCGAGCTGGCGGCTCACACCTGCAAGGCATGTGTGTGTCGCTGTGTTTGCCTACATATGCTTACGTACTCGCCTGTGTACTTGCGTCCATGTTGACTACCCACTTCCTTTTTCACACATTGGGCTTTTTCCGTGAAAGAGAATGTTGCTTATTGCTTAAACCCTGTCAGTTTATTACGTAAATATAGTATGATTACTTCTAAAAAATTAAATCATAATGTATTTCAATAATAAACTATTAATTTCAACTTTTGACATAATTTGTAATATGTAATTAAAACATTTTTATAAGCACTCATAGTGTATAAACATGTTACATTTATAATAATTCTATTATAAATATTATGGGTAGCTCTGCCCACTGAGAAATGTCATTGTTTTGCTGTGTTTATATCCAGATAGCTCTACATTAGATATGTTTTAATTAGCAGCAGTTGTGTAAAACATTGTTATATTAGTATTTCTTCTATACTACTTTATCGCATTTATTAATAATTAGAATTGGCTTTTATTTTTGCACACTCTCAGGAAATAAATGTACAAAAGCGGTCACTGGGGTGGTACCTTTTCAAATGGTACACCTTTGTACCCCAAAAGTCCATATTAGTACCTAAAAGATACAAACGTGTATCTTTTGAAAAGGTACCGCTCCAGTGAGTATATTTTCAGTTTTCATTTTAATTTAAGTTTAAGTGATTTTGTTCATTATTATTATTATTATTATTATTATTATTTAAATATGTTTATATAGATTTAACTTTATTTAAATTTTTAGTAATTTTAGTACTTAAACTTATTTCACAACAACAACATTTCTAATTTCCATGTAGGTTTAAGTAAAAATCAAATATATTAGATGGGAAAAAAAGGTATTTTAGCTTTATTTCAATTAATATAAATACAATTACTACTACTAATAGTTTGTCTTAATTCCTTTCAGTTTGAGTAATTTTAGTACTTCAAACTTATTTATTTTAGTTGCCAAGGCAGCATTTCTAATTTTAGTTGTTAAAGTTTCTATTTTTTTGTCTAATATTTTTATTTTATTTCAGCTTTATTCCAATTATTATTATTATTATTATTATTAATAATAATAGTTTTTATCTCTTTCAGTTTTAGTAATTTTAGTACTTCAAAATTTATTTTTAGTACTTAAGATTTATTTCAGTTAGTTGCCAAGGAAGCATTTCTAATTTTTAATTAGAAATTTTAAATAATTATTACATTTTTAATTAAAGTTTGAATTTATGTCTAATATGTATATTTTATTTCATTTGAATAGACATTTGATATATATTTTAATTAATAATAATAGTTTTAGTTAACAATAACAACACTGTTGTCACGTCATGTATCATTTTCACTTTTGGCGTGAACAGACAAATTACTTTTCGATAAAACTTTGTTGCGCTTGGATGAGTTCTGTCTGTTCTGTCTCACACATCACGCAGCAGGATCCGTCACCATAAATGCTTGAGTTCTTTCCAAACAGGACGGTTGAATTGTTGATTTTCAGCAGTGACACACACACATGCACACACACACTGCCCACGATTCCCTCTTCTGAGGTGCAGCGCTGCCAGGGGTCGTCCCGCCCTAATCCTGCTAATGCAGCCCAACTATCTCTGCCATTCCAAATATTGACCCAGGCAGAGTGGACCCACTGCAGAGGTACTTACAATGGGATCTGACGGCTTTGGCCCGCCTGCCTGCTACTCCACAGTGTGCAAGATGATCCACTGTTAGGGCTTCACCCATTTATTTACACATCATATCTCCTCCGCACACCCATACACACACACATTTACAGTTGCTGCCTTACGCAAAGTCATGATCTTTACAAATAGATGCACATAGTGGTGTGAAATTATCAAGGATTTATCCCTGATGTATGAGAGCGAACCGTAAAGGCCTGTTCACACTAAAATCGATAACTATATTAGCATCCACACCAACGCACAATAACCTTATTATAAGCATGCTGAAGTATGGTCGTCTACTATTTTAAATGCTCAAGCTCTTTAAAGCAGGGTGCATTTTGATTGGCTGATGATGTTTATATTGTTCATCAACTGGAAAAAAATATTCTAAAAGAGATTCCAATGATATTGTTCTGCTGTCATTGTAGTTAAGGTATGGACTGTGCTATACTTTTAAAATTTAAAATTTTATAAAAAATGTATAAACTTAATCGTTATAATTATTGTCGCTGTGAATGGGCTTTAAATGGATAGTTAAATTAATTACTGCAATTAATTACTCCGCCTCATGTTGTTCCAAACCCGACCTTCATTCATCTTCAGAACACAAACTTAAAGATATTTTTTGATGAAATCTGATTCTGAGAGCTTTCTGACCCTGCATAGACAGCAACTGAACTACCACATTTAAGGCCCAGAAAGGCAGTAAGGAAGGACATTGATAAAATAGTCCATCTGACATCAAGAATTGTTCAGTAAAGTCGTTATTTTTGTTTTCTTTGCGCACAAAGAGTATTCTCGTAGTTTCATAAAATTACAGTTGAACCACTGATGTCACATGGACTATTTTAACAATGTACTTACTACCTTTCTGGGCCTTGAACGTGTCAGTTGTGTTGCAGTCTATGCAGGGTCAGAAAGCTCTGTGATTTCATCAAAAATATCTTTTTTTATAAGTTTATGTTCTGAAGATGAACGAAGGTCTTACGGGTTTGGAACGACATGAGGGTGAGTAATTAATTGCAGATTTTTCATTTTTGGGTGAACTATCCCTTTAAGGCTGGAAAGTACAGCAACATCGAATACCTCACCAGTGTGTTGCAAACGTCAGTACTCAGAGAAAGGGATTGTTTTCTTCAAATGTAGTTATTTAGTTAGTGCTCATGCCTGCAAACACATACTTGCATTTAGTCACTTTTCGGACAACAACGATGTGTAGCTACTAGCTATAAGCATTCGTGTACTTGCGTAATCGAGTATATTTCAGGCCTAAGAGGCAATGCAGTGTTTCCTTAGGGGGTTGAGGTCAGTCTTAGCACTTACAGGGTGGGGTCGGTTAAAACCTTGAGCCCATTTACCACCAATCTCTCAGATCTGGCCTAGCAGGTCTCGTCCAGCCTACTGCGAGATTCCCAGCGAGAAGAGTCTCGCCATTTGCACATATGTTTATATGACTCAGGCCTGGCCATTGAGAATCCAAGTTAATCATTAACCATTTCAAGTACCAGCAAGCCCCTAGTAACAGATTCAACTTTAATTTCAAGCCTGTCGACTCAAACGAATGGCACAGCTGCTGTCAGGCCTTCTTTAGCCCGCAAGGTGGTGTTTAGAGCCTCGATTGAATTCCCAGGTGATCTGGCTCTCGTCACCCCCTTGGAAACCTGCTTGACGACCCTTTGTTTTGTCCATTTTGGCTCAAACAAAGCTGGATCCCACCCCCCAATCCCACATGCTGTAGTACAGGCAGCTCCGGTCTAATTGTCACAAGACACTGCTGCCAAGAGAGCTTGAGTGTTGGGATGAATCTTTTCAGAAGTGAAAAGCAAAGATTGCAATTTATACACACTATACAGTAGTTTCTCCCAGATAAACAATTAGGCTGTTTCTGAATGTATCTTTGTGGAGAGGAATGGTGGCTAGAAGGAAAGAAAATCGCATTAGACTAATATAGTTATGGCTTCTGGCATGTGGTTTCCATAGCAACTAGCACATTTTCACAGCATTTAAAAAAAAAAATTATGTGAGGGTGACACTGAGGGTACATACAGGCGTTTATACACGCTAATTTTCTCTCCTAAGCCACACAGAGCCACTTTTTTTTTGCACGTCACGTGTCACAAAACTGACAATTAGAGCTGATAACGCGAATGGAGAAAATTCTGCCTCTGACAAGACGAATTGCATCTGCTGGCTTGGCAGATCTCATGCTGAATTGGTTATATCTCAGGAACTGGTGTGAAAAGTGCTGAGAATCTGTTTGTTTGTGTGGTTTCTCCTAGGCGAAGCGCCTGAAAACGCCCTCAATAAGCTGAAGTGTCCCCACTGTAACTACATTGCCAAGCACCGGCGAACACTAAAGAGACACTTGATCATCCACTCGGGCGTGCGCTCCTTCAGCTGCGACATCTGCGGAAAGCTGTTCACTCGCCGAGAACACGTCAAGAGACATTCCCTGGTAAGACAGAAGCACGAGTGTTTATAGTGGGTGAATCTCAGAAAAACATTTCACCCTAACAGCTATAGAATAATTATTTCAAGAAAACAAGGCATATTTTTAAACCACTACGTACTTTTGCATTGGGACAATTTTCATGTCAATTGAGCATATTTTCCTCCATATTTCCCCCCAAATTACATTAATTCATTTGGATGTTTTTATTTGAAGCTTTCTAAGCTTTACCTTTTTTTGTCTTTTTTTTTTTTTTAAGAAATCAGCATACATATCGTTTAGAAAGTATACAGTTTCATTATAATTAAATAATTATATGAAATTATAGTTATAAATAATATATATAAACATTTAAAATCTATTAATATTAATATTTCTATTGTTTTATATTACATACATTTTAAATGTCTTTGTTATAAGACTGTCACTTACAATTATTTTGGTAATCAAGTAATCAGTTGATTATTCTGATCATGATTAATTGAGTAATCGGATAATTATTATATATTTTTTTGTAATACAAATAGACCTAAGCGAACAATAGCTTTTAAGATTACTTAAAATATATATATATAATGGCAATGAGGCAATAATAATTAGTTCAAATAAAGTATCAAAACCAAGTAATCATATGTTTTTATTGAACAATACTTAAAATACATAATGTATTATAAACAATAGAGCTAACATACTTTTCGCATTATAACAAATGCCTGCAGAGGGCGCCAAGGACCTGACAGTTGTTTTTACACTTTACAGCGCGATCTAATCCTTGTTTAATATTGACTAAACAACATTTAATTCAAATGTCCACATTATCTTTAATATTTGGCCATTACTTTATGACAGAAATGCTACAGCCAACGTAATTTCTTAAATATGCGGACATCAAAACGTGTTAACAGAGTGAAGGTTTAAATTTTTTGTTTAGTTTGAAATCATGATGAACAGTTAGCTTAGATGTTATAATAAATGCAAACTCACAGCAATATGCAGAGATGGAGTTTGAGATGGTCCTCTCATGTACATGATAACAGTGGAAAGCGCCATTTCCGGTATTTTGCCGGTCACTTGACACAGGCAAAATGCCATCGAGGATTTGTTTAAATTTTCATTTTTATATAATATAATTTTTTTTTACATTTACTTTTTGTATTTACATGTGCATTTATATATGTCATAATTGCATATAATACACAGTATATAATATAAAATATTATTTTATTTATACATATGTGACCCTGGACCACAAAAGCAGTCTTAAGTCGCTGGGGTATATTTGTAGCAATAGCCAAAAATCCATTGTATGGGTCAAAATTATTGATTTTTCTTTTATGCCAAAAATCATTAGTATATTAAGTAAAGATCATGTTCCATGAAGATATTTTGTAAATTTCCTTCCATAAATATATCAAAACTTAATTTTTGATTAGTAATATGCATTGCTAAGAACTTAATTTGGACAACTTTAAAGGCGATTTTCTCAATATTTAGATTTTTTTGCACCCTCAGATTCCAGATCCTCAGATTTTTAAATAGTTGTATCTCGGCCAAAATGTCCTATCCTAACAAACCATACATCAATGGAAAGCTTATTTATTCAGCTTTCAGATGATGTATAAATCTCAATTTCGAAAAATTTACCCTTATGACTGGTTTTGTGGTCACATATATTTTATTTGCATTCCCCAATGGAAATGCTTATTATTATGTTTGCGTTCCTAAAAAATGTCCTTGCATAATATAATGTCTTATTTATGTCCTTTGATTTTGGAGTGACATGATAGACATTCTTGACAGGTTTTACAATATTCACCCACAGGCTGATTTCATTCACAATATTGCAATACTCACTAATGTTATCTTTCTTCACTCACTAATATCCTTGTCCATGACATTCATTTGCAGGTTCACAAAAAGGATAAGAAATACAAGTGTATGGTATGCAAGAAGATCTTCATGTTGGCGGCCAGCGTGGGCATACGGCACGGCTCTCGGCGCTACGGTGTGTGCGTGGAGTGCGCCGACTCCCACCAAGGCACGCAGGAGGGTCTGGAGGGCATGCAGGACCTGGAATTCGCCCGCGACGAAGACTTTGACGAGGCCGGAGAGGGAGACGAGGACATGGAGGCGGAAGGGGAGGAGCCCAATGAGATTGACCAATCCAACTGCGAGGGTGATGTGGGTGCCACCCCCGAGAAGGACTAATTTAGACATAACCTGGTAGAGAAACGAATCAAAATGCAAAGAAAAAAAAAATAGCTGGGAAACAATCAACAATTCCAAAGTGCTATCAAACCTCTTTGTTGCACGTGAAGTTATGTCAAAGAGATATATAGCTTTGTTAGAGAGGGACTCCAATATTTAAAGATTGTTCTGTGTGTCAGAGTCTGGGCCATGTGCCTGTCAGAGAAAGAGGTATAATGATATATAACAAAAAAATCAGGTTTTTCTGTGATGTATTTTTTTTTTCTTTTGTAGGGGATGAGGGTGTACAGCGTTTCTGAGTTATAATAGGCCAATCATATTAAAAGAAATATTAATTATTTAATTTATGAAGAAAGATATTATGGTCTTATGAAAATGATAGAATTCGATTTTTTTTTATGTACGTCTGCTTATTTTCAGTTCATAGCTGCGCTTCCTGACAGACCTGATCGTATATTGCTCAGAGGAGGAGCTCAACAAAGAAGGAGCATTATAGAAATTCCGCTTACAGGAAGAGTTTTTTTTTTTTTTTTCTTGAAACAGAAAAAGAGAAAATGCTAAAATATAAGGGGACTATATTATTGCTAGCTTTATTTGAATCACAGCATCACAGTAACACTTTATAAGCATTTTGACATTCACTTAAAGCTTGAATTTTGCCAAATGATGGAAACGTTTGGTGCTGTAACGCTTTTATTTTTATTATTATTTTTAAATACTGGACCTACAAGCTGTATATGATGTTAATAATCGTAAAGCCTACTCAGCTCAGTTATACTAATCAGCTTTGTATTTTACACTGTTGCGCTAAGGAGCCTATCAGGTATGCTTTTCTGTTTTTAACGTCTTTTCTATGAAATGCACATACACACACACGCACACACAAACCATTTGTTGTTGTTAAAACTACTGGCAGTACTCGTACAGATGGAACGACCTGATGTTCTTGACCCTCCTGAGTTGGTTAGTGGTACTGAGCTTACTTTGAATCACTTGAACGACCTGTGTACTGTTTTTGAAGAATGCAGATGGAAAGAGGTGGTTTGCAATAGACTCCCAAACATCGTTTTGGTCCCCTGTAATATTTGCGATCATTTCGGTTTCATTTATTTGGACTTTGTCGTGTGTCTGCTGAGTGGAAAACACTTTGCTTGTGCTAAAGTAGAACGGAAGGTCTATGGAAGTACATAGACGGGCACTTACTGTTCTGCGTTTGATAATTTCTTATTTCCCCAAAGCCGGTCTGGATGGAAATAAATCAAAACTGTTGTGTTTTATTCCATACTGAGCTTTTTTTTTTTTTTTGACATTTCATTATTTAATGCTATATATGTATTGACTCCAAAATGCAATCAAGACTGTTAATTTTTATTTGTCCTACCAAAATCATTGTTTAATTGTTAAAGATAATGTGTAAGAAATCCAGGTAAATATTTAGTGTAGATCCTTGCTTATGTATGTCGTCAGATTTAAATGTTTTTATTCTAAAGTCAATCATTCACTTTACACTTAGATGCTTATATTGTTTTATTTGTCCTACCTTTTGAGGATTTATTTTGTTTTTGTTCATCCATTGTGTTTTTTTATTTCATTTTAAGCACATATTTTTTAAGAACTATTGTTTGTGGGTTAATATCTAGGAGCAGGAGTTTCTGTTCATATGCAGTGGATATATTGAAGTGCTATACTGATACAGAAATCGTCTATCTTTCCCTTTACTCGAGATGAAAGTGTATTTTAAAAGCTGTATAGAAGATCCTGTTTGTATTGCTTACCTTCAGATCATATTTAATTAGTTGATTTAAAAGATGGCACGTCACTGCAGTTAACCGGTTTAAAACCTCGGCCTGGCTTTCACTGTTCTCACCAAACTTCACACTTTCTGTTCACATGTGTACGTTCACCATCATGTCAGTTTATGGTTTTTCTTGTTTTGTCTGTGTATCTGTTCAATTCACATTAATGTACTCCTTTGACTTTATGCTGTATATGGACATAGCAGACAAAAAAGAAAAAGAAAAACACTACAGATGAAGGTTTTTTTCAGCTGTATTTTGTAAAAGCTGTTTCAAAGATGTATTTTTCAACTCTCTTACAGTGATGCAAACGGGGCCACGGGCTCACCTCAAACACAAATCAAATCAGGTTATTCTTTTTATGTTTTTTCAAGAACTCAAATTAATACATTTTCCTTCTCTTTCAATTGTACTACTGTTCCTCTTATTATAAATTTTAAAATAAAACTTTGATATTTCTCTGTGCTGTATTGTCTTATTGCACTAATCAGAGGAAGTTTTGAGGGTGCTCAAGGGTGATCTGTCATATCTTGTAATTTATGAATTTATCAGCGTTGACCTACAAATTTAACACATGCGTGTGGATATGCACATTTCTAGTGCAGTTTTGTTGGATTTTACACTGTTGAGCCTTGTTATATAAACAGATGTTTCTGAAAAATATTGCAGATAAAGCTCAAAACCGCAAGATTAGTGGAGTGGCATTGTTTACATAGGTTACACGCGTAGATATTAACAGTGCAAAGCAAAAAAATAAATAAAAATCACTTTATCACAATGTTGCTGGTTTTGGAGCACAAGAAACAAACCTCTTTTTAAAGTAAATTTGCTCATACTTGCATATGCACAGTGAATTGACATGAATTCGCATTATTTGTATTTAATGTAATGCAGGTATGTGTTTTTCCTGCACTTTGGCACTGAAATCTCAATTTCCTCTAAACGTACATGAACCAAACTTTGCTAAACATTGTCACAGTAATGTTATTTAAGATACTGCAGAATGATATGTTTATATTTACTTCCTTATTTGTTTCACGATTTGTGCAAACATGGGCAAAATGACATAACTACTGTTCATCATCTGGTGAATACTTTTGAACTATGATGTCAGTCAAATAGAGGAAGTTGTCTAAGGAAACCCCCCCAAACATTTGGTGTTTATGTGAGAGCCCATGATGTTCCTCTTCAGGATACAGCAGGACTGATGAGAAGTTCTTAGATGTGATTCTATATTTCATATTTCACCATCTCCTCATGCCGTCATCACTTCTGTATCACACTGCACTACCATCTAGTGGACATTCCCCGAAATTGTACTTTGTACTGATTTTTTTTACTTATTTACCTTTAAAGCACAGAAAAAGAACTTTAGGATTTTCAAGTAATATTTTTATACAGTTTCGTCGAATGGATCATGAACTATATTTTAGTTAATTGTAATCCAAAAAGAAAGTAGCAGTGGAGTGTCAGTTGTCACAACAATTTCGCTACTAAACACACACACACACACACACACACACACGTCTGGTCAGCTATCCTTGTAGGGACTCTCCATAGGCGTAATGGTTTTTATACTGTACAAACCATAGACTGTATAAAAAGGTACAAACCGTGAAATGTTCTATCGCCCTACACCTAAACCTACCCCTCACAGAAACTTTCTGCATTTTTACTTTCTCAAAAAAAGGCTGCCTCAATTTATTTGATAATGATTTATTTGAACATTGGTAGTTGCAGCTTTGTAGTCTACATGTTGCCAAAACTGTTTGGTGTTATTTAACATGCCTTGATTTTACATTACGTGTTTACATTTTGTTTTAGTATAATGATGATGACAGAAGGCTGAAGACAGCCTGACTCTTCATACAGTCCCATTTCTGCCCACTAGATGGCAGACAATTACTTTCTTTCACAACGTCAGATAACGTTTCTAGGTTTTTTGTTACAGTTTTTCTCAATTGCTTTGGCTCAATTCTCGAATTAAACTTTTTTTTCTTTATTTTTACAAAATTATGGCATTATCACTCAGTACCCCTAAAACAACCTGTAATTTATATAGAATAAAACTAAAAATATCCAGGAAAAAAAACCAATATCAAGGTCAACCTTCAAACGGAAGCTCTTCTTTTCATAAATGACAATCAAACAGGTGAGTTTCATAGTTTTGAAAATGTTAATTATGCTTTTTGTCTGTGTTACAAACATGTAGATTAATCCAAAACAATTCCCAGATACATAGTTTAATTTTCTGTTTCGTTTCTTTATTCAGATAGATAGATAGATAGACAGACAGATAGACAGACAGACAGATTATTCATATACATTGTTTTTATACCTATCTATAATATACATTGTTCTATCTATCTATCTATCTATCTATCTATCTAGATATCTTGATTTTGGGGCCTAAAGGCCTAAAATGATTTTTCGAGTATATTTGCAAGTGTGTTTGTTTGGCCAAGTTCATTCATCTGAGTGAATGTTTGTGTATATACGTGTGTGTTTGTTTATGCACTGTGTGAGTGTGTGTGTGTGTGTGTGTGTGTGTGTGTGTGTGTTGTTGAAACATGCCCCTGGGCAGCCACACACTGGCTCATTCTGCTGGCTGTGTGAGAATGGATGGCAGCTTTTGTGTGGGTGTCTGTCAGTGCTGTTGTTTGAAGCTGGCCCCATTGTGCCCGACCACTGTCCCTTATTGACACAGGACCTTCTTTTTGCCTGTTCCCATGCTCCGACCCTCTGGCTTGGCCCGTCAGCGCCCGAAACCGGATCCTCTGAGCAGTGCACCGGTTGCGTTCCCTCTTTCTCTCTCTCTCTATGTCCTGGTGCTATTGTTTGCTGTCGTATTTCATTCTAAAGTGTGGTCGGGCAAATTAAAGAGCAGCAGGTAATGGTGCGGTCACAGCTGCAGTTGTTGACGGTGGCCTGTGGCGGCCGTTTATTGAGAGCAGAAGTGAATGCTTGCGGTCGGTTTCCCTCTCTTTTGTGTCTTCTGTTGCATGCGGTTGTGTCCTCTGTGACGGCATAGTTTCACAGGAGCTGATGAGGTCAGATAGAGGACGGGGCTGAGACTCAGGCAGTTTTGAAGGTATGTGGGGAGATTATCGCCGGGACCTCCCATGCCGTCAGAGGCAGGTGGGATGGATCGCAGGTGTTAACTTGAAGAACAATCTCAGCTAGAGCACTTAGGCTCATGGGTGCTGGGATTTTGGGGACTTCAGGGGTTATGCACTATGCAGATGTGTAATGAATAAAACATTAAAAATAAAAACATAAAATTAATTTTTTTTTAAATTCTCCACCTCCTACCCGAAAATGTTAGCTTTCAACCTGATCTGATCAGCAAATTTAGTTTGTGTGTGTGTGTGTGTTACCTAATGTATTTAGGTTGATTTGGTGATGCTAAATAATAAAATAATTTATATGTGACCACATGAAGTACTTTTTTAAGGTTAACATTTTTTCAGTTGAAAATATACTTTATTTAGGAACATCTAAAAGAACTATTTCAAGTC